TGCACCAAGAGCTTGTAACACTCCAAAGAGAAAGGAAAAATTGAAATCGCATCATATGACCCCTTTAACAAAAATTAGTGCTGTTAATTTTTGTAATTTTACATTGCAGTTCCTACTATGGCTGTGAGAAAATCCAAATACTTTAGGAGGAATATGAGACTTCTACAGAATTTCATGGCAAGATAACAGTGAAACCTGTCACACCATGAGAAGGGTCTATTTAAAGGGAGATGTACTTTGCTCCCTGATTCTGCTGGTGCTTCTCTTTCTGCTGTTGTATGCCCATCAAAGAATAACGCCCGTATGGGGGACTTTGCACATTGAACAGGGGTCCACCAACTCGATAACCCTCCTCAGTGGAGCATCAATGGGACAACAAATAAAGCCAGTCCCTTCAAAATCTCCAGACATACCTCCATGCAAACCTGAGGTTCAGATCAAGCCTAAAGCACAAGGATCATCAAGGGTCAAATCTCAGAAAGCACGTAGCAAAGCAAAGTCTAAATTTCGCCAGCCCCCAACGACAGCAAGGCTGCTTCCAACACATGTTTCCTTTGACTTTGACGATTACCTTCGAAAGAAAGATCAGCGGGACTTCAAGCTGCTAATCGATCAACCAACAAAGTGTTCTGGACCGGAAGGAGCCCCTTACATGCTGATCGCCATAAAATCAGTAGCAACAGACTTTGACAAACGTCAGGTTGTTCGAAGGACATGGGGACGAGAAGGTGTGTTCCAGAAAAATATGAACGTCAAGAGAGTTTTTCTTCTCGGTGTGCCCCAAAATCAAACAGCGCTCCCGTTATGGGACAAACTGTTGGGATATGAGAGTCACGCTTTTAGTGACATACTCCTGTGGGACTTTGAAGACACCTTCTTCAACTTGACGCTAAAAGAAATCCACTTCCTACAGTGGATCAATGTCAGCTGTCCCAAAGTAAAGTTTATTTTTAAGGGTGATGCAGATGTGTATGTGAACATCGACAATATCCTGGAGATGCTTGAGGGTCAAGAGACCAATAAGGATCTTTTTGTTGGTGACATCATTGTCCATGCCAAACCAATTCGCAGACGCAACAGTAAGTACTATGTGCCAGAGTTTATTTACGGCCAGGGGATCTATCCATCCTATGCGGGTGGAGGCGGCTTTGTCATGTCGGGACATACCGCATTGAAGCTCCACCTCACCTGCCAAGAGGTGGAACTCTTCCCCATTGATGATGTCTTTCTATGCATGTGTTTGCTGAGGATCGGCCTTCAGCCGACTCGTCACGAGGGCTTCCGCACCTTTGGAATCGTGCGACCGTCTGCTGCACCCCACCTCCAGGTCTTCAACCCCTGCTTCTACAGAGAGCTGATGGTGGTGCACAGCTTGACGGTCCCACAGATCTGGCTCATGTGGAACCTTCTGCATGACCCTAACCTTCAATGTCACAGCAGTCAGGATCCCATGGTTTTTCCCTTTCAGTGGAGCGACAAGATCGACAAGACGGCTAATAACAAGGCAAAGGAGAAGCTTGGGAACGACTATGGGATGAAAGTGTTTGTGGAACATTAACTCCTAGAAAATGAATGTACTTTGAAATTACTTTAAAACCGACAGGAAAGGCAAGGAAAAACTAAAGCAATAATTCACCATCATGTCAATCAACTCCACGTGACATGCAGAAGAAAATTGGATATCATTTTAATTTAGTTAAATCATGGCTGCGATTCAACTAAAACCAGGGAAATAATTAGTTCAACGTGGCCATGATTTAACTAAAACGAGAAAATAAATTACTCACAAATTAGTAAGTTAAACTAATTTTTTAATTGTGGCCATGTTTTACTAACTACTTCTCTCATTTTAGTTAAATCACTACAGCAATTTTGAGGGAAAGAATTAGTACAACGTGGCCACGATTTAACTGAATTAAAATGCTCTACAACATGGCTACAATTGACCTAAAATGAGGGAACAAATTAATAAGATGTGGGAACTATTTCTTAATTTGTGGCCACAATATATTGTTGACTTCCTTCCATGATTGTTTAATTAAGGATGTTGGACTGCTCTTTTTCATACAAAGAAAACATGTAATGACCATCAGCTGTCGTGCTCTAGAAAATGAAAAAAAAAAAAAAACATCTTAAAAGTGTTTGTGCAACTCATAAGCTATATTCCAAGTGCTTTGAAGCCATATAATAGTTTTATGTGAGATATTTAAGTCATTATTCACTGAAAATCCAGGACTTGGCATCAAACCTGGAGTGATCAGCATTAACATATGCAATATCTGAATGTATCTTAACATTTCAGGTTTGGAACAACATGAGGATGAGTAAACGATGACAACATTTTTATTTTGGGGTGAACTATCCATCTAAAAGACTGTTTAAAAAATTGCAAAAACTAATATGAAACCTAAGCTTGCAAAAGCTTTTGTAGATGGTTCTTTAAAAATTATCTTTGTAAACAAATAGTTTCATGGTTGTATCATTTACTCAAACTATACTAGACTTTAGCAAAATGATAAATATGTTGTTGTATAGGAATCCCAAGGAAATCAGAAATCAAAATGAACACTAATGGTATGTTGACGATGTTCTCATGCGTCAAAAAGTACTGGGTTATGTATCATAAAACAGTCTTATTACTGTATATATTCTTTATTAGAAAAATGGCACTATTTCTCAAACGGAACACTTTTTTTCTTTGATTAGTGTGCTGTATTGTTTTGGATGATCTGCTGTCTTTTAGATTTAGATTCAACTGAATTAAATGATTGAATTCGAAAAGTAGCCTGCTGTGAACATGAACATACTACTACACTGTTTTAAAGTGAATAAAAAATATGTTTTTAACAAAAGACAAAGGATGCGTCCATTCTTTTCCCCCATATTTATTACATCCATTCTTTAAATATTTTTTGTTGAACACACTGTAACAGTTTCAATGAACAAAATGCAAAATTAGCAGTTTAAAAAAAATTGATAATGCTTTCAGTAGATTCTATGAGGAAACTAAAATCCAATGGTCACAGCATTGTTGCACCATTCTGAGCTACTGACAAACATATACCAGACCATACTGATTTATTATCCATCAATGCAACGATTATTGCATTAAAAACAAACAAAAACAAACAACAAAAAAAATGGCTGATAATGCTGATCATCTGCGTACGTGTTTCTTAAATCTACAGAAGAAAAAATATCTGAGATACAAAACACCACATTGCAATCAATTTAGATACACACTTTTTTAATCGAGGATAAGTCCCATTTCCAGAAATGGGTTAAATGTACTGAATCCACAAAAAATAATCACTTTGGAGGATGGGGAAGAACATACGATATAGCATATACAATGTATATACAATACATAGCATTAATATGCGCATTACACTGTATGGAGTTTGTCCATTTCTAATTACAATCTTCAGGACGATCATTCAATCATTCCGATGCAAAAATAGGATAAAGTCTGAAGAGGAAACAACACAGCCAAAATCCATTTGATGAAAATTAAGCATTCACTTGCTCCTGGCATTAAAAAAAACAACATCCACCTGAGATTGGGCTGGCAATCAGCCCATCAGACAACACTCCTCCGGTTTTAAAACTCACTAAATGACACTAAAACAGCAGTTGTGTTATTCCTTATTGACAATGGTGGTTCCAATTGTGCATTTTAAATCTGATCCTCAGCCCTAAAGAGTTTTAAGATCGAACCATATTTATTTCACTTTAAACTAATTTAAGTGGAACTTCACACCATTTTCAAAAAGTACAGCCACAACCACTTTGTGAACCTCAAACCATGAAGGGCCACCTACATGTTCCGTAATATTTTTGACTCTGACTTACTAGTTTTTTGTGTGCTGCATTTAATCAATTTAATACTTTGAAGCTTATTTTCGCTGTGAAAATAAGACCGCTGACCTTTTTTTCAGGCCATCCTTTTTTCCCCCTCTGAATTCCGAGATTACATCTCACACTTTTACAGAATTGTGAGATAAAGTGGCAATTTTATTATTGACTCCGTGCCAGAAATAGGCTTCTTCTATAGTAAACTAGCCCTTCATGACAAGAGTTCATTACCCAACAAGTCCGTTTTTTTTCTTAGTTCCTCTAATATTCAGGTACGTTTTTTTTTTTTTAAACAAAAGGACGATAACTATCAATTTAGCTTTACATGCTCCGACATACACAAAGCAGTTTTTCAAACAATTTCATTTACAGAGAAAAAGTCAAGACAGGCTCGGTGCGAAATGAGGCACTATGTTAATAGCATCTTCCTTGCAAATGACCAAAAGCCAAGGGTAAAATATATTGAAATCACCACTGATGGCCTTCCAACACAGTTAATGAGAAGTTACTGTAACAGAAAGCTAAAAATGCCAGAATTAGCCTGAACCACACACTGCAGAATCTTGAAGGGAGGTGGGAATAACACCAGAGAACTGGAGCTTGACAGCCACAGGTGGCTACGCTGCAAGGCAGCACAGCAATGAACAATAGTTAGAGGTGAACAAACCATCTACTAAAGTTAAAATGCTCTAGTCATCTCCGTTAAATCCTCCTGAAAGTGGTCAAATGTAGGCGACTTCTTCCAGGAAAACAGTGGAGGGAAGCTGCTATAGTGACCCTCAAGGGCTGACAAAGAAAACCAGAAACTCTCTGATCTGTTAGCAGTGTAGGACGAGTTCCAGACGTCAGCTGATCTGATACGGTACTGTTAGACCGATTAAACAATGAAAATTGTGTATGTTATTTACAGATCTGTACAGGCATGGACATGGCAGACATGGCTACAGAAAACATCACGTCTACTTACTACGGAAACAACGGCAACAAATCTCTAGACTAAAAAGCAAGAAAGAAAGCTTTAAAGCATTAAAAACCAATCAATCGTTTGAGTTGCTATGCTAAAAACAATTCAGGGACTGTATGGATCAAATCAAAAGGGAATGTTCTTACGATGTGAATTTAAAATGACAGAAAGCTAACTGTTGTTTCTTCTTTGGCTAGTGTTTTGGCAATCAGGTGACAGAAGACAATTCTGCAGTTAAGACTTTAAGATACTGAATAAGGTAAAAGAACTTCACATCTTTCTACTGTGGACAAAAAAGAAAGATGCAAACAGAATTGACGGCATCCAGCGGGAAGGAGAAACAGATGGGTGGATGGCTTTTCTCTCCAGTCAGGGTCGCAACTAGCTTTGAAATCCAGATTGCACGTCGTCGTTCCCTCCCCCGCCGTCCTTTCTCTCCGAGACTCGGCAATTAAAACGTTCCTCAGTGGACAGGAGACAATTATCAAGTAAATTAGGTGCATTTTAGTGCAAATGTTCAAAACTAATGTGCTCACGAACAACAAAACAATAACAGAATCAACCATAAAGTGGATGTACGGTATTGAAATGGGAGGTAATCTGTACTGTTGACTTATGAAATGAGTCGATGAATCGTTATGCGTGTATGTGAGCCTGCTCATGTGCCACAAGAATATTTTCACAGCACTGGATCCATACTGTGCTAGCTTGTGCTTGGAACCTTACGTAAATGCATACAAAACACACTCAACAATTTATGCTGCGAAAGTTTGTCCTCATTTTACTTTGCTCTCATCCTCTGCATGCCGGAAAGCAAATGAAGTTGAATTCATGAGTGTTTTTGTTAAAGTGTTTAGCGTGCAGAGGAGAAATCTGTTCAATGTTTGCCCTTTGGTGCGTCTGGTATGCAAATTTTGAGAAGGTTAGGCAAAAAAAGAATGCACAAATATGCTTGTGTGGAAATGAATCACTGTGCATCCACAAGTACTATAACGATGCTGACGTTGATGCATGTCTGGGTTAAAGCTTTGGTGGCGGAGCCAGGTTTGCATGGTTATCTGGGATAATTAGCAGGCTGATGGTAGCCTCTACGCTATTATTGGAAGAGGAGACCAAATTGGGGCCTCTATTCGGATGTAAAGAAACTCCCAGCATGTCTTGCTTTAGCTTGTGTGATGGCAGCAGTGAGTGAAGGCACACTCTACTGGTCAGTTCAGAGGCTCTGCACGGCTGGACGGGCACCGTGGGCACGGCGGCTTCCTCAGTGGGCACTAGGCTCGGCACGGGCCAGGCTACTTGGACAAGGCGCTCCGTAGAGAGTCACAGAAGCTATGTGGTTATTCTGCATGACCTGTAACCATAGCAACAATATGGAGATGAGATCCAATAGTTCATGTAGTGCTTAGTTGTGTATGAGGTAGGGGTGCATAATTTATCATTACCATATTGGTTATCTGCCAATATTAGAGACTTTTTTTATTTTAAAAATCAGTATCAGACAGTTTGGGATATTTAAAGTTGGCATAAAATGAAATTTGCGATAGTATTTCCCCCCCTATTGTGACATACATCCGAGTGAAACAGCTTCTTAAACAACAATGAACAAAAATATTTTGTTGCACGATGGAGGCAAAGTTATTTTGATTAAAGATTACAAAATATGATGTGCAAGGATAAATCATTTATAATAAATACTGCAATATTCTATTCAAATTGCCATTTTGAGTTCATGGTGACTTTAATAGTGCATGCCTATTTTCCCTATTTTTACATTTAAAATACCTCTGCAGTTATCTAATGCTAATAATCTTATCTTTAACAAATCCCTAAATGAATATCCATTTTTACATTATGTACATTATAATGTTGTGTGATGCCTAAATTCACTTATAGCATTTAAATCAGCAGATTTTTAATGTTTTCTTTTTTTTAAATGTATATAAACAAAATATTTCTAATAGTGGCCATTTATTAGTTACTGGCCATAACATGAAAATAATTATTTGCTTAACTGTATCAGCCAGAATTTTGGTTGCACTTTATTTTACAGTATATGTACTTACCTAAGAAAGTACAGGGTGATTTAAGGTAACTACATGGGTTAAGGTTCGGTTTAGGGGTAAGTTCACAGTAAGTACCTAGTTATTACCCAGTTACTGAAATTACTTTAATACGTACATAGTATGTACATGCGGAATAGGACTGTAAAATAAAGTGCTACCAGAATTTTAATATCAGTACATCCGTAGTAAGAGCCAATGATATTTCCACTCAACTTTGAACATAGCACAGC